AGAAGAAAGGCGGCGCCTGCTCGAAGAGCTTCAGGATGGCAGGAGCGGGGGTGGCAGCTCTGGAGCTGACTGTCCCCAGCTCCGTGGGGCAAGCTGGACCACCAGAGAGGGCCACCGAGGGAGGTGACACCCCAAGCCACCAGGCAAAGCAGCAATGGGCCGTGGAAACAGAAGTGTTTATTAGGACCAGGGGCACGAGGGAGGGGGCTGTGCTGCAGGAGGTGCCTCAGGAGACCCTCATCTGCTGTCCAGGTCTGGTGGGAATGAGACCCCTTCCCCCTCAAACTGTGCTGTCCCCGAGCATCACCAGGGCAAGGTCCTGCCTTCACCAGGGGGTCTGTGCCCTCAGAACCACTCTCGTGGCTGGGCCCCCCAGTGGACCCCCACACTTCTCCAGAGACACGAGCGCAGTTTCTACAAAAATAGCCTTTCCTCCCCAAAAAAACCAAGAGACCGTAGAGAGCAGGCAGGGCTCCCACAGTACAGTGTTATTGCTCAGTGTGACAGCCGGTCAGACACAGGAACTTAAGGCAACAGGAATAAGTGCACCAGGTGGCCTCCGAGCGGGCCCCCCACGGCTCATTGTGCCAGGCAGGCCTCGGTGACGCCCTGCGCGGCCAGCTCTGCCAGCACATTGTCCAGGTAGTTGGGGTCGGGGTAGCCGTGGCCGCTCAGGTTGGTGTCCATCTCCGTCTTGTGGTGGATCTCGTTCCACACCACCGTGTTGCTCTCGCCGGTGGTGCTGGAGGTGCCCACAGTGAAAATCAGGCGTCGCTTCCAGGCCACCCTCAGGAGCTCCAGGACCTGGAGGCAGGAGGACAAAAACCAAAGCCGGTCTTCAGCAGCTACGGGACTTAAGCCACGAAAGCAGCTTGCCAGAAGCTTCACAGCCTAAATCTGCTGGAGCAGGAGGAAGCCAAGGATCCCAGCATCAGAAGGGAGCTCCCTCACATCCTAAGTTCCCCATGGGAAGGACCATTCCCTGGTTTTCCAGCACTTGGGACTCACTGGCACAAGTTGAGACAAACGCGCGCTCCCCGCCAGGAAACGGGGCTGGAGGAGCCAGCAGCCAAGGCTTTCCAAGCTGAGCGCTCTCAGTGCAAACCCCTGTAACTGCATAGCCCAAGACGGGCCAGAAGCATCACCCCAAAGACCAGCTGGGACTTGGTTCGGTGATGGGATGAAGGAGGACAAGTCTTCACAGTCAAAGCTGTGAAGAACCCCTCGTGGGCAGAGGGGTTACAGATACACAGAGGGAACAAAGAGCATGGCCAGTCCCCAAGAGCAGCCGGTTAACAACACAGTGACAGCTCCCAGAGCAACCCCGCTGAGCCGATCCCCCAACACAGGGCCAGGAGACAACCCGAGAGGGTGACATTCTCCGGGTGCGACACCTCACCTTCCTGCCCTTCTCGTTGTCTGGCAGGTAGCAGTAGCGAGGAAAGCCTCTCGCTGTGTACGGCATGCCAGGGTTGGGGTGCTCGGGGCCCTGCAGGAGACAAAGACACATTTGGCATAGACACATCCATGTTCATACGAGCTGGACAATCCCTCAGCAGCAGGATTAGGGATCAGCAGCAGGATTTGACATAGGCTCGGCTCTATCCAGCTCTTCCATGTGAAAGGAGCACGGTACCGCTGATGTAGGAGATACCTGGCTTGTTCTCATGAGACATGTGTGAGAGGTAAGGCGGTTGGTGGTAACTGGTCCCCCTTTCCTGGCTTGTAAGAGTAGGGTGACCCCCCTTTGGTGGTTGACACCCTCTTTAAAAGAGATCTACCGTGGCATTTTAACACATGACTGGATGGTCCTTAAGGTCCCTTCCAACCCAACCCATTCTGTGATTTTATGTGAGTATTACAGGTCCTCCAAGAGTCTCATGCTGGGATATAAAGACAGCTCTTCAGATAAACTCCAGTGGGAGCACTCAAACCACAGCTTTTTCCATGCTGTCTGGCATCCTAAGAAGACCACCCGGCTCCAACCTCTGCACTCACTGCAGCCACCGAAACCAGACACCGGGATCTCTCCCACCCCGTGAGCATGGGCTGAGGCTCCTCTTTGCTTTGCAGACACCAGGTTTTACTCTCCTTTTTCGGGAGGCTCCCAGCGCTCACCTGGATGCCTCTGCTGATGTGGTACACGATCTGGATCGTCCCGCAGTCCTTGTGGCCAGGGAGGGACTGGGGGAAGGTGGAGACCTCCATCCTCCCTTTGGGCTGGGTACCGGTCTTCTCGCCGTAGATGGTTTTACAGGAGGGGCACTGCAAGCTCCCATCCTGCGAGGGGAGAGAAGCAGGGATCAGAGCTCCCCAGCCCGGACGCCAGCGCAGGGGACGCGGTGGGGCCGGGCCGGTGCTGTACCTTGTTGCCGCTGGAGTACATGGCCAGCATGCAGAGCATGTGGAAGGAGTGCTTGCAGCTCAGCAGGCGGCCGACGGCCTCTGGCTTGATCGCGCTGCGCTCGCACTCGTCGCCGTAGCCCGAGGGGGACGACAGCTTCTCCATGCAGATCATGCAGTCCTGGAGCACGAGACAAAGGGGAAAACTACTGTTCAGTGTGAGCACAGGCGATGGCAACGACCGACCCACCAAGGAGATGCTTCAGGAACACCTGCCTGCAACTTCAGTCCTTCCCTTTGAGGTTCAAGGGCACAGAGACAGGTTTCCTTACCTGGCTGGCATCATCCCACTCCACCTCATGGACAGCACAGAGAGAGCTGCCACCAGAGGGGATGAGTAGGAACTGAGTATTGCCACGTCCTGCTCCTCTATGGGGCAGCTCCAGCACAGGGTTTTGACCTCTACGAGCATCGAGAGGACCCCGAAGCCAAACTCCCTCCTCCATGGCAGGCCCTGCAGCCAGCTCCAAGAGAGGTGGGGAGGCACGGCCAGACTCAGCCATTCAACCCACACTGTGCTACCTCTGTCACTGTCCCCTCACCTCGTCCGCAGGAGAGCCCTTCAGCTCCTCCAGGTACTTCTTCACCACTGCGTCTGGCTCGGTCGGCGTTGCTGCATGAGAGATGGGAAGGGAAAAATGAGATGTGCTGTGAGATGCGACGGGCATGTGCAGGGTGAGCTGGAGAGGAGGGAGACAGGCAAGTCACTGGCCAGGACGTCAAGGAGGAAGGTGAGGGTTAGAAGGGGAGAAGAGGCTGCTCCAACCAATCCCTACAGCCCCGCAAAGGCTTTGCTATGCTCTGGTTCTCCCCACGCACCCCGAGCGACGCCAGCCAGGTCCCGGATGGACGGACGCTGTGAACACCAGAGGTCAGCTATGGTCATGCTCAACCAAGGACGCTGTGGCCTCAGGAGGACAGAGAATGCCATCGTCTGCACTGTCAGAGGAGAAAAGGCACTGCCACATCACCCAGCTGGCACCCAACAAGGAGACCCAGCAATGCACTACGCTTCAGGCCCTGTTTCGAGTATGGCAGAACAAGCCTTGCATCTTTAATATGAATCACAGAATCCCAGAATGTGAGGAGTTGGAAGGGACCTCAAAGCTCCCCCAGACCAACCCCTGCCAGAGCAGGATCACCAGAGCAGTCACACAGGAACACGGCCAGGGCTTTGGGTGTCTCCACACAAGGAGACTCCACAACCTCTCTGGGCAGCCTGGGCCATGCTCCATAACCCTCACACTGACAAAGTTTGTCCTCATCTTCAGCTTGAACCTCCTGTGCTCCAGCTTGGGACCATTGCCCCTTGTCCTGGCATTGGCCATCCCAGAGCAGAGCCTGGCTCCTTCCTCCTGACACTGCCCTTTCCCAATGGATCCCCAGGAATGAGGTCTCCCCTCAGTCTCCTCTGCTCCAAGCTCAAGAGCCCCAGCTCCCTCAGCCGCTCCTCAGCAGGAGATGCTCCACTCCCTCCAGCATCTTTGTGGCCCTGCTGGACTCTTTCAAGCAGTTCCTGCCAGCACTGGACACAAGATTGAGATGTGGTCTGACCAGGGCAGAGTAGAAGGGAAACAGTGGCCTTTCAAGCTGCCATGTACTTATATATCCAGCAAGACACAGTATAAGTCACAGGGTACATTAAACAAATCAGCTTTCTAACAGGTACCCTATTTGCAGCACATGATACTGATATCTTTGTGTTTTCCTAAATGTAGTCCCTTGCTGCACTGATGCTCCAATGCATTTACATCCACCAAGGCTGCCTGGAGAGAAAAAGAGCCAAGGAGCCCAGAGGCTTTAGAAAAACCTGTCCCCAGCTGCAAGTGTTTGACTTTCCAGCCCCGAGGAAGCCTCTCGATGCTGAGAACATGGTTTCAGCAGTGGTAGCGAAGCCCACACAGCTCTTCCTCGCCTCCAAAGAGGCTCTTCCTCGGGCAGAGCACATCCCAGCAGCAGGGGGCAGGGGCTGGAAGGGGATACCCAGCACCACCACAGCACCAGCCACAGATGCTTCAGCACACGAAGCCCTTCCTTACCCGACCATTAGCTCCATAAAAGCACTTGCCTCCAAATGTTTGTTCCAGCCATCCCTCGGGACCACCAAAGCCTGGAGTTTTCTGGGTTCAATGGCAGATTTAAGTGCAATAAGAAGAATCGACCAGTGCTGTTTATCACCAGCTGCCCCAACTCTCTGCTATTGATTTCTCTGGGATGTGAAGGAATGTTCGCTGTGCTCTCATTTACAAAGGGAGGAATAATGATTTTTTTTAATGCTTCCCCTTCCTCCCTATAGATAATAAGTTGCTTGCTGAAGCAAGGGCTTTCCATGGGCAACATTTAACAGATGTGTTTTGAATCCTCGCTTGGCAACCAAGCGCTGCGGCAGTCGCGTGCCTCCTGCTGCATCCCAAACCAGCCATACGGTTAGCAGCAGGCTTTTCTGGATACCTGCTGAAGGCCAGACACAGGTTGTTCCTAGTTATGGTCATGGACTGGCACCCAAATCCAACCACCACTGCCCTCTGCCCCCTGGGCCTCAATAGCTTGGACCCACTGGCTCCAATCCCAAGAGGGATGTTCAGAGATCAGGAAGGCAAGAGATTTGGTGCTAAAACCAGGTTTCTCCCCGTAACAACACAGAGCACCCATCACTGCAGCCCATCTCCGTCAGCAGATTGTCCTGCATGGGAACAGCAAGGCCCCCCAGCTGAGGGGCTCTCCTGACTGAGGGGCTCCCCATCCCACCCATCCCATAGGCACCGGCATGGTCTGCAGACAGACAGACAGACAGACAGACGCATGGGGAGCAACGAGGGCCAGCCAGGATTACCGCGGTGCAGTGCCGGATCGCAGGAAGGCGGCACCGATCCATCGGGACATGGCCAGGCCCTGTGCCAGCACCCGCAGCGCCCGCCCGGAGACTACGGCTTCCCCGAAACCCGCAGAGACATCATTGCCAGAACAGCAACAACGTTAACGAGTCCTGGCTAATTAGTGCCTTTGTTTAATACAACCCAGCTATTCGCCAAGCTGGCTGCAATCCCATCAACGCCGCCTCGACCCGTGCGGGGCCGGGGTTTGTAGCAGGAGGGAGCAGGAAGGGTCTTAGGGGACACAAACTGCACCCCCTCAGCACTGATTTTGGCACCATCGGGTTGTGGTCAGCTCCCAAGGGCCTGCTCCAGGAGGCACAGCTCCTGCTAGAGCTCCCCGTGATGGAAAAGCCTGGAGAGGGGTGGGAAGGGAAACTGATGCAGAAATTCAGGGTGCAGACGGGCCCATCTCTGCCTGCTGGCAACTTCAGGGCCCGTAAAGGGAAAACAAACGGCCTGGCCAAAGTCAGGATCACCACATCCACGGCAGAACAGCGTCCCTGAGCCCAGAGCAGTGCTGTACAGAGACAGCCTGATCCTAGCAGGGGCTGAGCACCCTCTTCATCCACTCCGCAGCACCAGCCTCCCTGCTCCAGCAAAGGGGACCCTGCTTCCTACAGTGAGAGCGGGGTTTTTAGCAAAGGCATCCCCTTCTCACGGGTCAGCATTGGAAGGGCAGAGCTGGCAACGCCTCTGCTCTGCAGCACACCCCAAGCAGGACCAGATCCAGCAGTGCCAGGCGGGAGCTGCTTGGTGCCCCTTCCCCAGACACCGTCCCCCCATCCCTGCTCCCCAGCCGAGGTGTCCTGGTCCCAGCAGGTGACATTGGTGAGCTGGCAGCCTGGCAGGTCCCCAAACCTGGCTCTCCAGCTGCCCAGGGGACACGTGTGTGCTCCGGGTGCCGCAGCAGATGCTGATGGACCGGCTCCTCGACTCGCAGATGGGGGGTGCGACACCCGGCACGGCTGCTCTGGCCCCCCAGCCCACGTCCCGTCCTGCCCACCCACCCCATTGCTGCTCTCCCTGCTCAGAAGCTGCACGACATCACCTCACTGACACCACCTCATTGACACCACACTCCTGTGGCCACATCTTGCCCTAAACATGGCCACTTCCACGGCACCGACCGTGGGTGACCAACACCAAGGGCAGGCCTGGCCCGCAGTTTTTCAGGCTCCTGCAGCAAGAGGAGCCGTGCAGTGCCTCTTTGGGAGGGCCTGGCTGCTGCGCAGCTCCATTTCGGGGCAGTTTCCAGGGGGTCCCCCCAGCCCTCATCCTTGGCTCTGCAGCGAGGTCCTCACCCAGCTCCTCTGCTGCCCACCCCTGCTCAGCTCCTCTTCACCTCCCGTTTTCCTGCGCTCCTCCCATTCTTCGCTGCTTCTCTTCTCCCACCACCCCCTGCTTTCTCCTCCCCCTCTATCACACATCCTACTCCACATTTGCTCTCTCTCTCTCCTCACCCTTTGCATCTCCTCCTCCCAGCTCCCTCCATAATTTATTTCTGCAAGATACCTCTCTCTGCATTTAGTTTTCATTTTCCTTCTGCCATCCTTCCTGCCTCTTTTGGAGGTGTTTGGACCCCATTCCCCCATCAGCCCTCCTCGCTGCATACACGGACTCCAAGGAGAGAGATGCTGGCACCAACAAACTCCCCAGATGCCTCTTCCCCTCCACCTCAGGGCTCTTTCCTTGTTATTAACCACAAATACCTCTGTGGTAAACACCCCCACCTCCAGTTCTGGCTCATTTTGGGGGTGGTTGGCCACCCCAGGACACCTATGCCAGCCACACCAGGCCAGATTCACAACTGCACCCACACAGTCCCAGGGCTGCACACACGGATGGGACCCAGGCTCTGAACTGGGAGCCCCCCCAACTCCACAAGGGCAAAAGCATGGGATGCCAGCAAGATGCAAAGAGAAGTGAAGACCCTGCCCTGGCGATGTCTCAGCTCACAGGAGAGCTGGGGTGACCACCAGAGAGCTCTGCTCCACTCCCTTCCACTCCAAACAGAGCTGGAGAGAGCAAATCCTCTGCAATGCGGCCTCCAGAGCCCTGTGTGACTCAGGGGCCTGCTGGTCTGGAAGATCCTTCTCACGCCGTGACTCAGCTGTGACACGCATGGCTCACAAGCAAACCTTTAGAGAGCACGTACGGATTAAACGCTCCTGGCTGCTCCCTTGGGTCCCAGACTGGTCCCACCAAGGGGTCAGAGAAGGTCCTGGTATGTGGATGCCTGGGGCTTCCCAAAAGCGGTGCAGCAGGACCACGGAGGAGGCCGCAGGAGCCCAACACACACATCACGACTGATGGGATGGAGCAGAGCTACCACAGGACAGGGTCTGCTCTACCACCTCGTTGTACAGCCTGTCCAGAGGAGACGGGTGCTGCTTCTCCCCTTGGTGGGACGAACACCATCAGTCAAGCCAGAAGAGCCAAGAGGGTGAGGGGAGAGACGAGAGGAAAGCAGGGAGGCAGAACAAGTGCAGAGAGATAAAGAGAAGGAGACGGAAGCAAATATCAGAGTTTGAGCAGGAACTACCTTTCTTGGACACTTTCCTCCCCTCCTTAACTGAGCTGTGTTTTTTAGTGGCCTTATGGGTGCTGGCAGCTTGCGGCACACAGGTGAGGTGCACGGGGAGTCCAGCGGCTGACATCAGAATAGCCGTCATGCCTACAGCGGGTACGACACCAACATGCGGGAAGGAAACAACGGGGAAACACATTCATTAAAAAAAAACACTTCAACCTTTCAAAGGAAATAAAACAAAACGAAACAAAACAAAACCCAAGCCCTTGATTCAGAGGACAGCAAACGTCTGAGAGGCAGCGGGGTCGGAGTCAGCACCGGGACGGGATCCAGAGGCTTTCGGAGGAGCCCTGAATTAAAGCAGGGGAATACGGGCACAGGTCTCAGCGGTGACCCCCGAGCTGTGCGTGCACAGGACCCTCCTCTGTCGTGGCGTTTGGGTTCTTCAGGCACTTTCCATCTGCTGTGCTGCAAAGTCCTGCTACCAGAGCCCTGACCCTGGGGCCTGGAGAGTGAGGGGCATCACCCCTAGCCCCTGCTCAGCCATTCCTCCCTAAAGCCACATACTTCATACACGTCACCCCAAACTGATCCCCACAGCGCAGCTTAAATGTCACTAAATCCCACGGCACTGCCAGCCCCACTCAACCCCTGCCCCACTGTGGCAGCCTCCCCACTCACCCCACGCCGCCTTCCCCTGGCACCCCACTTCTCCCCAGCACCCCCAGCTGCGATGCCATTCCCACCCTCCTGCGATCACGGGGTGCAGCTCGTTACAGCTAATGAGGCATTAAAAAGGACAGCCGTTCCCTGGAGGTGAAGTTGGCGTGTGGGGAGCTGCAGGACCCGTCACGCTGATCTAATGCGATGCTTGCTGTGAAACACAGGCCGCTTGCAAGTCGTAACGTCTCCGAGGCAGCAGATCGCTGCTCAACTCGCGCTCAAGAAAACACCTGCCCTCCTGTTTCCAAAAATCACCTCCAAAAACCCTCACGGGTGCAGACCAACAGCAGACACCTAAAAGCCAGCGTTTCCCCAGAAGTTACCTCTGGCAGCAGCCCATGCAAAACCGCATCCTAACGTTACGGAGCCTCTTGCCAGCATCCTGCACAGCCGTTCACGGCTAACGCTGAGATTTGTAGGGTTTTTGGGTTTTCAGGCCTCTATTTGGTCGGCTTGGGAAAGGAAGAGAAGAGCGCATTCGTTCAGGACAAAAGTGAGGCGCCTTGCCCACGCACGACTGAAAATCGAGTTATGACAGGAAGCAGCAGCCAGCTTGGTGTGCAAGTGAAGACTGTTTTCTGCCTTAAATATGGCACCCGGTCACAAACCCATGCAGAAATCCCCTGCGCAAAGCCTGCGTCAGTGTCCCACAAGCAGAACTACCCCTACACTGTGCTGACCACGTTTCGTGCCTCCTTTGTGTAAGGCCCAAGCACGATAAATACTCCAGAACCTGTCCAAGGCCTTTCTCGATACACTAAAGTTGGATGCTTTTACTAAAACTTTCTCATCTAAGGACCAAGGATGGACAGGAAGGGTTTCATGAGACAGGGAGGGGGCAGACATGGAAAAAGTCAATCCCCAGGGTCACCCAAGAGCCTTTGGCGGAGACCAGGCCGCAGCAGGATCCACAAGTTTCACAACCAAATGAAGTTAATCTAAGGCTTGAACCAAAGGCCGCAATACGACTGAGTGCTCTAAGCCCGCAGTCCTTCACTACGCCCAGGGAGCCTTCAGCAGCAGCTTAACTGACCCTATAACACGGGCAGCAGGCAGGCACCTTCCCCTTGCAGCAGGTTAAGGACAGGCAGAGGTGTCCCCGAAAGAGCAGAACCAACTCACGCTGATGAGGGAGCTTGGAGGAACAACATTCCCAAAAACAGGCAGGGTGCTGGACCTCCCCATGGCTGGGGGAGATCTCGGACAGCCCGAGTGCACCGAGGATGCAAAACCCATCAGAAACGGTGCAGTAAAGGTGTCCCCAGAAAAACCTGCTTCGAGCAATGCGATGGCACCGATTGCAGACTGGCATTTGAAAAGCACGTCCAAAGACTAACGGGGATTATCACCACCTACGCAGAGCTGACTGATAGGCAAATGCGAAACTGATGCTTTCTTCTTAAGAGATCAATACCATCTTGCTAACATTAAAACAGAGCCCATTAGAAAAGAAACGGAACACGACATAAGCAGAGGATGGACAACCAATTTCAACCTTGTAATGTTGGAGGACAACGCGTTGCCTTGGAAAAAATCAAAGCAAGTGAAGGGCATGAGCCCCAGAACCGCAGCTGAGTTCAGGTACCCTCTAACACAGCCCCTCTCATACCTGGGGTAACACCTCCAAAACTGCCTGCCAGCGTCAGGAGTCATTGCAGAGAAAATAAGTGTTGATCCAGGAACCTTCTCTTTCATTGTACGAGTCACAAACGCATCTGCAGCTGCACTCACACACACAGCACAGGCAAACGTGGGACCAGGAGAATTGCTTCCCATGGACAGTCTTAAACTGGCCAAGAAGAGGCAATTTTTCCACTGCTACCTTCTGCTGCTTTCAGAGAGACAGACAATGAACCACCTGCAGATTCAAACCACGAGAGCATTAAAGAGGGGCTGTTCTGGTGATCCACTGCTCCTCTGGCTGATCTCGAACCCTGCAGAAATGCCTCCTTACAGCTCTAATACAACACTGGAAACCATCGAACAGCAGCATCTACCACCACCACTGTCCTGGAAACCGCAGCATCTACCAATCCTCCCACTGGTTTGGTGGCAGGAGCCCTCAGGAAGGGATCTCCTCATCCCAGCCTCACGTGGTGCTGTGTGTTCATACCAAGCACCAGGACAACACACACAGAGCGCATCTGGACGTCGATGCTGCAGTGCTGACCTGAGGACACGATGATTTCTATTCAAGCTCACTGTAGGCATCTGCAGACTTATGTCAGGAGCAAACCCGGATAAATTCTCACCTGAAGACGCAAGGGCCAAGCTTGCCCAGACCAAGACAGCTTTGGATGCCCAAGGGTTCCTGCTGCTCCCTGGCTACCCCAGGAGCCTGAAAAATACTGTGTGAACACTTCCCCTTGCCCACTGGGTTTTGTCCCTGCAAGGACAGCAGGAAGGAAGGGACAGAAAGCCTTGTGAAGCATCCTTGGGCATCCGATTTGATGCTATGAACGTGTGCAATAAGCACACTCGGAAAACTGCCTCTTTTCTCCTGCCCGCAGCATTTATTTGGCCAGAATTATGACATTACCTTGGGGTAAAACTGACTTCACTGAGCGATGACAACATCCGCCAGCTTTTCTCGGTCTGCCATGGAAATAAGGCGCTTTCGTAATATCCTGTGCAGAAGCCGAGCATGGAAAACACACCCGCCCAGAACGGAACGGGTGTTGGCCACAGACCCAGCCCAGCGCTCCCCAGTCACCAGCACTGGTCCTGACCCACTTGCACAGATCCCAAACTGGTTCCAGTCCCGGTCCAAGCGTTTGTTTCCAGTCCTGGGCAGTGCTTGCCTTGAAATAACGCGAGATCCCAGGGAAGCACTGCTGATTTGTACAGTTATATCCACCAAAATGATCATCTTTGGTATGTTCGCAAACGCCTCAGCTCTAGGAATCCTGTGAACAAGGAACACTTGGTTTCATTTAACAAAAAGCTAATTCCCAGCCTGCATCTTAAAATCAAGTGTTCAAAGGGTCTTCATGCGACTGCCCCGCTCAGCCCAGCCCCAAGGCACACGGATAAACTGCATTATCCCAGGAGGTGTCAGTCCAGCTGAGCCTCAAACACCAACACCGGGGGCCAACAGTTTGCACTAACCAAATACCGAGGTGGAAAGAAAATGCTACAAAGCCAAGTTTCCACACGCACCTTGATGTATTTCAACAACAGACAGCAATGAAGAAAACAATTCTTGTCTGTAGAAAACACGATTTTAAAGTCAGCTTCACGATTTCCGGGATCCCAAGAGGTACTTTTGGAAAGCGTGGGACAGACAGTGTCACAAATCCCTCACTCAATTCCCCAGGCGCTCATCGCACCGACAAAACCCAGCTTCTGAGACCTGCAAGATCCCCCCAACTTCTGTTCATCCACCAGATGCATCCAGGAGCTGCCCCTGCAGCATTTCAAGACCACCCACAAAACGCAGGGGTTTTCTTTCTCCTGCTCCAAAGCAGAGCCAAAGCTGCTGGGATGCACCTCAGGATGGAGACCAAGGGCTGTGAGACCCCTGGACACGCTTCCCAAAATAAAACCTTCCTCAGTCCACCTCTGAGACTGCCCTCAGCCCCACGTCACCACGGAGCCCTCGGGTCCCAGCATTTCCACCACTGGTGCTGAAGGAAGCAGCAGGGACCAGAGGAACAAGAAGGGCCTGGGCTGTGTGAATAACCCCTGAAATAACTCCAACGCCATCTGCAGGAGTTTGAACACAGAATCACACAGAATCACAGAATGGCTCGGTTGGAAAAGCCCTCTGAGATCATCCCGTCCAACCGTTCCTGTCTACCCCCTAAACCATATCCTTAAGTACCTCATCTACCCGCTCCTTAAACACATCCAGGGATGGTGACTCCACCACCTCCCTGGGCAGCCTGTGCCAGCTTCTGACGACCCTCTCAGTAAAGAACTTCCTCCTCATCTCTAACCTGAACCTCCCTTGGCACAGCTTGGTGCCGTTTCCCCTTGTTCTATCCCCATCACCTGGGAGAAGAGCCCAGCACCCACCTCTCTCCAAGCTCCCTTGAGGCAGTTGTAGGTGGTGATGAGGTCTCCCCTCAGCCTTCTCTTCTCCAGGCTAAACAAGCCCAGTTCCCTCAGCCGCTCCTCATCAGGCTTGTTCTCCAGAGCCCTCCCCATCCTTGTGGCTCTTCTCTGAACACGCTCCAGAATCTCCACATCCTTCTTCTAGTGAGGGGCCCACAACTGAACACAGCACTCGAGGTGCGGCCTCACCAGTGCCGAGTACAGGGGGATAACAAAACACCGCTTCCCTGAAGAGGTCCTAGGAACAGCAGGAAAGAAGGCATCCCCAAAGACCCAGCCAATGCACCTTTCCATAAAATTCGGCCTTTTTACCGCAACTCCGCCACTCGCTTTATCCTAGAAGTGTTCCCAGAGATTTATTTTCCTATCGCTTGCCAATTAACTTGTCCAGGTCGTTCCTCTGCTGCTGTGTGATTTTAAACCCCCAGTCTCCAACAACGTAGACGTCAATCACAAACTTAACCTTTTCATTTGATGTTATCAAACAGAGGTAAATCGCTTATTCTGCCGAGCTCTCCTGCAGCCTCTTTGTACTGAAGCGCTGCACTACAAGGCATAAATGGACCGTGCATATTCACCTTTTCCAAATTTAGAGAGGATGACCTGCAGGTGTAGAATGAGATCATCGTCAGAAACATTAACACGGCCTGGATTCACCAGGGCTGCTCCTGTATTTACCTTTATGTGATTAAGTGCCTAATTACACTGCTGGTGCTAATGGCCAGGGGATGAAGCTTTCAGAGCCAGGGGGGTTGTTCTGCTCAGTTCACCCACCCAGACAACGTCTGAGCTTGACTTCACACCCCATTTCCACAACGACCCATTTGCTAACGGGGAGCAGATGGGCTGCAGGCTGCCAGAGGACACTCGGGATTGGCCTTTACACATTTGGCTACAGAGACATGCAAGGCACAGTTTTCGCGATGGTACCAACATCAGATGACCAGAAACACGAATCCTAGGGATTAATGTGAGGCAGGGTAAGGGCTGACACTTGGGAGGAGACCAAACAGCATCACCTTTCCTAGAATAAAGTGGAAACCATCTTCTCTAAGAGCACAAACTTTGTCTCCACGTGCTCAGGAGCAAAGTTTGGTGTCTATGGAGTTAATAACCTCACCAGACCACGCATGGACAAGAGCCAGAGAAAGAAGAGGGTCAACAGATATTCTGCAGTGCCTGAAATAGATACAGAAAGCCCCAAAAACCACCACACCCCAGGTTTTTTCCACTCCTCCACCCCAGGTTACCACATCATGACACAGTTTTGAGACGCCTGCCCTCAGCAGAGCACCCATCTCCCCAGGCACCTCCACACCAGGGTCCCCTGGTTTGGCACAGGTTGGGTCAGAGCAGACACCGACAGCTTTTGGCAGTGCAAGCAGGAAGAGCTGGCGTGTTCACAGCAACGCCATTTCATGTTTTTAGCAGGCAAATCTTAGAGCTGGCGCTGTCTTCCCTCCCAGACGCACTCCTCGGGTGTATTTAGTGCTGTATTCGCAGGTTTGGGTGACAACAAGCAAACCTGCACTCTGCTGCCACAGGAGACAGCGTCCGATTTAACTCCTGTCCCCAGGACAAGGCATCACAATCATTTTTTTAAGCTAACAACCACCTGAGTTTTTGCAATAACATCACACATCATCACACACCATCTCACATTGCTCTTCCCCCTTGGCTTTAAAAACAGCAGCAAGTCACAGCACCGAGAGCGATCCGTGTGCTCCCCCTGCTACTTACCATGCACGCCTTTGGGAAGAGGTGAACACCCAGCCTCCAAATAAACCCTCCCATTTTGAGAGCCTCAGGACCAGCGCTGATGGGAAAAACACTTACTAAGGCTTAACCATCCCCTTCTCCCTCAAATTTGCCCTCTTCACCTTTCTCAAAAATCTTTGGACCTAAACCCCTAAACACCAGCAACACCTCAGACTCTTCCTAAGAGCTAACAAAGGAAAATAAGTGAAAATAAGCACCCCAAAGGTAAACTGCCTGCTCACGTAACCCTGGGGACGGAGCGGGACCCTTACCTGCCAGGGCCTGGTTCACCTTGCTGTGCCTGGACATCTTCACCGGCAGGGCTGGGGCACTGCAGAGAGAACAGAAACAGGGACAAATTCAACAGCATAAACCAGCCACCAAGCACAAAACCACCTCAGCACTGCCAAGGCCCTGGAAACATTCATTAACAGGGATTAATTGCTCAGATGAGCCCCACCTGGGATCCACAGACCCTTTGCCCATTGGTCCAGCAGCTCCACTTGAGCAGAACCAAGCCCTGACTCTCCCTGTACATCCAAGGGGGTACCATGAGATGTGGGAACAAGGGAAGGGAGGCTGAGGGAGACCTGGAAGAATTTGGCGTGCACCTTCCTTTGGAAATTGGGGGGATTTGGACACCAAACAGCCCCTTCAACCTCTTGTTTTGGCAGCGTGTGCCTAGGGTGGATGCTGCATTTACTACCTGGCTACTGCGGTTTGTGTGGCTGCTCTATGGCCCTAGGCCTCCTCCCCACTTGAGGCAAAGGAAAGGGATTTGTGGGTTGAAATAGAAATATATTTAATAACAATAATAATAATAATAAACCTAATATCAGTAACAGGTATAGTGTAAAGCACAGAGTTATACTTGGCCAATATTGTGGGGGCAGGACAGTAACTGAGTCCCTCTGGAGACGTCAGCAATGAGAAGAAGGGGCTGGCCCCAGCAAACACCCCAATTTATAGCGGATGTGATGGTTATGGTGTGGGATGGCATTAATTGGTCAGCTTGGGGCCAACTCCCCTGGCTTTCTGCTTCCCCCAGCATCTGCACCGGGTTATCTTGAGGCTGCTGAAGGCCTTGAGCATCACACACCAGCATTAGGTGAAAGTATAACAGAGATTTATCGCTGCGTTCCAGTGAAACAGAGGTGCTGCAGTCCTTCCAAAAATCACAGCTTTCCTCAACAGAAAACCGGCTCAAATTGTGTCCCAGTAAAGCGGGACAACGCTGCATTCAGACCCCCCAGAACACCCCAAATCACACCAAACTTGACGGCTGCTGAGGAAGTCGCAGAGCACACTCAGGGGATTCAGGGCACAAATGCTATCCTAATTCTCTCCAGTGGGGATGCAAAGGCTGCCACTGCCTGAAACACCATTGCAGACAGTGGTGCCTCCCTTCAGCTCTCATTTTAATCTCAGTCCGCATTCCCATGACGATGACCAGAGCTGGAAAGATTTGTGACCGCCCTCGCCTCCTCTCCTACCTGTGCAGGTTGAAATGGGTTCCCCCAGGCAGGACCCGGGGCTCGGTGCAGTGCTCACAGCCTGGCCATGCAAGACCGGCTCTTCCAGACCCTTATAAAGCCCTCCAGACCACGGAGGTTTCCCTTTCGCCTCTTTCAGACTGGGTTTTCCTCTCTGCTGCCCCCAGTTTTGCAGTGTCTTCAAGTGATGCAATGGATGTTCTCACTACAGCCCAATTCAAACCCCAAGATACAGTGGAAATCCTCCCTCAAAGGGCTTTGAATCAGACGCCGTGACTCCTCTTCAGGACTTCTCTTCTTTCCTGGTTCATCCTCTCCATCACACCCTTTCTCAGGTATTTCCCCCCTCTATCTCATGCCTTTGCTCCATCTCTGCCCCCGCCATGCTCCTCTTGATGGCCAGCAGCAGGGCTGCTCCCTCTTTATTCGAGGGCCAGAAAATGACAAGGAACTGGAGACCCGCTCCCAAAATCCAGTGAGGTAATGGACCACCCCTGCTTCCTTTCCGCCATTGAGCAGAGAAGACAACGCGGTGCCTGGGCACCCCTGTGCCCCAGTCTGCGACCCCGCATGTGACTGAAACAGAGCTCGTCCTTCACCGTCACCACGAAAAGCAGCAGCCACCTCCACTGCTTTCACTTCCCTGTACAAGGTAAAAGCAGGCCACAAAGCTGAGCCTCTGCTTTGCCACGAAAGCAGCAGGGGATCCCAGGGCCATTGCACCCGCAGCAAACGCAGAGCTGCTCTGGGCAAGGCATTGCTGGCAACAACGCTGCGACGAACTCCTGCACTGCAAGGCTCAAGGCCAGGTCACCCAGGAGCCAGAGGAGCCCTCAAGGTCTGCAGAGGGACGTGGATGAGCCACTGATGCATTTCACAAGCAGTCTCGTTCTGGGAGCTGCATGCACCGCAGGTACGTCACCATCAGTCGCTCGTCGGCCGCACGCCTGGTGCAAAGGCAAAGCACATCAGCTTGGGCTGCTGGGACCCAACTGATGCGATGGTGGAGGAACCAAACACCTCTGATTTCACACGAGCGACACACGCAGACAGCAGCACCTCAGCTACCACCACTGTGGACGTGCCCACCCAGCTGTGTGAGCGCACCACGACTGCCTTTACATCCATAGAGAGCCCGGATGGGGCTGATGAAACCGAGCCCCTGCCACAACCCTGCCCGGGCAGATCCGCAGCCACCGCGCGTGGGAGGAAGCGTTGCTGCGCCAAAAAAGGTGCGGAAATGCCACACGGAGCCTGCGCTGGGTCTGAAGTGGGGTTTTTGGAGGAGGAAGGGGAAGAGGTAACGAGGAAGGTTATTGCTGCAGTGGTATAACGCAGGCTCTGAGAGCCGGCTCCCAGCAGCACCAGCAAAGGTATTTGGTCCACCAGCTCAGACTCGAATGTTTGGGAGGGAGCCGAGGCCAGGCTGGGGTCAGATCCTGGGATCTTGTCCTGTCGTTGGCCCTGCCCAGGTCCTGGTGCCTTGGTGACACCCCCCAATCCTACAAAGCCTGGGTCATTCCCCATGGGAGACGTGGAGGACCTTTCCTAGGAACAGCACGGCACCACAGCATCCTTCCCCATTCCCCAAGACCCCCACTTCCCACCTTTTTAAACAAAATCCTGCCCCCTGAGCAGGCCAGGGCACTAATTAATGTATCCCAAGATGACTGCTTCCTGCAGTGACTCGCTCCTACCACACGCAGGGCATCGCTCGCTGCGTTTCGGGAGCACCCATCTCTGTAAATAGCACAGGGAGTGGGGCAGTGCTGACCCCGGGGATGGATGATTTGGGATGGGCAGGAGCTGAAAAACTGCACGGTGGTGAGCCCTGCCCCACAGATCCGGTTAACGGTGCTGATACAAGGACGTGACCCTTGCCGGGGCACGCTCCATCCGCAGATTTCCGTGCTGTGAGCGGCTGGATTCACCAACTATGTTTAACAGACAGGAGGAAACTAAGGCACCGAGCAGAAAATTACTTGCCCGCATGTATTTAACACATTAGCAGCCGAGCCAAGGGTATTAGCATCTATCTAAGCCTTGGCACTGCTCTCCGGGTTTTCCAGCAACTCTGACCCTCTTGAGAGCGTGGGGAAATCAACCCTGGGTTTTTGAGGGCCTGAGCTCCACCTTTTCTCACCCAGCATCCACCCTGCAGCAGCAGGAAATGTATTTAATCACCGGTGCCAGAAAAGCCCGGGCACGCCGGTGCTACCACCAGCCCGTACCGGGGGCTACGCAGGCCACGCAGGGGGCAAGGCTGCTCTCCAGGATGCACACACCTTGCCTGGATGCACACACCTTGCCCAGCCTCGCAGGAGACGTTTCCTTCAGCGCTGCCACGTTTTGCTGCGTTTCCTAAAGAAACTGGGTGCCCGCACCGTCTTTCAGCCTCTCACCAGTAGCTTCTGAGCCCTTCTGCCAGTTGCAGCTCGGCTCTCAGAGGCTGGAGCTGGGTCAGCCCTGCTCGCTTTGTGAAGAGAAGCAGTTTTGTCACAGCAAATAATGCACCAGGGCTGCTCCGGAGCCAGAGCTGCGGGGTGAGCACAACACAATCTTTATTAGACACCAGAGCATCCCCCACGTCCTGCAGCTCCCTTCCCTGCGGTCTCCGAGCAGGGGCCAGCACAGGCATTGCACATCTCAGTTCAGAGGAATGAACAATGCTGGATGCAGACAGAAACCCTTGGCGGGCTAATTAGTGCAGGGTAATTAGTGTGTTGTCTGGTGATGCAGGAAGAGACAAGGCAGCAACTGCAAGGGAAGGGGATCCGACCACCACGGGCAAGCCCAGCCAAGGGAGGGAGATGGGGAACCCAGGGGATAAAATAACCCAGGAATGTTCTGGGCTTAGGCATTAAATGAAACACATTGTTAGAGTTTGCTACTCAGGTTTCCCCTAATTCACAGAAATTAGAGTATTTTCTGCTGGAACATGGGTTTCACGAGCCTGAGGCTGTAACCTCAGCCAGGGGCAATTACACCCACGCTGCGGCATTTCTGACCCTAATCCAGCACCAGGGTGATGGGAAAAGCCATCTCCAGCTGTCAGACGGTGCCAAAAAAGTCTCTTCCACGTTACTGGGAGACAGAGATTGCTCCCTGCGTGCATTTGTCTGTCTGGCAGGGAGGAAGGAGAGCACCCCTGGCAAAACCAATCCCAAATCCATCATCCAGGAGCCACCAATGCACATCTTGGTGTGCCCTTCACCAGGGTGTGTTTGGGTGAGCCCCCAGCTGCTGCCTTCCTCCGGGCTCAGCACACAGCCACGGGCTGGATCTGTGACCCGTATGGGCTGGATCCATGGGACCCACACAGGCCAGATCTGGGACCCACACAGGCCAGATCTGGGACCCACACAGGCCAGAACCCTGCTCCACATGTGCTCCTGCAGAGGTGGATGGAAAACCAAGGCGACCACAGATAGGTCTGGTGGTAAACACTGGTGCAAATGAACAGCAAGGGAGTTGTAGAGATGAAGACAGCCTTCCCTGCACGGCATGTCCTGCTGCATCCCCCAAAAAGGCTGACTCGGCCAGGGACTGCTGCCAAGACACAGCCAGCTCACCCCTTCGCACCTCCAACAGCTGAGCTGCAAAACGAGTTACAGCAGCCAGACCTCGACCAGCCCCGGCATTGCTCATCCATGGCCAATGCCACCAGCGCCGCAGCAGTCGCAGTGCTCCAGGACAGCTCTGCCCTCCTCTGCTGTCCCCAGGCTGGCCATCATGGGGGGACCAGACCAAAAAGCCACCTCCAGCAGTGCTGGAGCAGCTGAGCGGGGAGCGTGGGGCATACGCCAGCGCCGGGGGGTGCTGTGTTAACCCAGCACGAGCCCGTTCAGGGTTTAACTGGTCACTGAGAGCTGCCCAGTGCCCCACAGCTGCTGGGATCCAGCCCAGGCTGCCACAACCGTGTCCTCCCCACTGCCCTGGCACCCACAGACCCTCTCTGTGCATCTCTCTCCTCCCAGCGAGCATCACCCAGGCCATGGGCTTGGTTCATGGCAAGGACCTTGTGCCACCCATCTCTGAGATGTCCCCCACCCTCCCCCTTTCAGCACCACCCGTCCCCCATCACGACATACCCAGACCCCCACAGGCTTCAGGCAGGCTTGGGGGGGGCAGCCGC